CGACAATTCCCTCCCTTGTTTTTGAAAGAGCTTTTTCTTTGAGGGGGAGGGGAATGTAATGGAAAAGCTCTCTTCAGCCAAATTTGAGCATTAGAAGAAGCCTTTAAGCTAAGCTTACCTGGAGTCCACTGCAAAAGTGTTAGCTAGCATCTCAGAACAAAAGTTGTACTCATACAGAATTAACAAACTGTACTTACTAAGTTTAAACTAGCACTGAAGAGTTAGGAGCACTGACTGCTCTTCCAGAAGTCCTGAGTTTGAATCCCAGCAACCACATGGTGGCTCACAACCATCTGTAATGGGATTTGATGCATTCTTCTGGTGTGTGTCTGAAGGCAGTTACACTGTACTCATATAAAAATAAGTAAATTTTTTAAAAAGAACCAAAGTTCAAACTAAATTTTTCCTGTAAAACTAGATTAGTTCTGTTTGACGATTCCATTTAAGAGAACTTTTCTTGATTGCAATCAGGGGAAACAACATATTTTTACATCTGACAAACTGTAAACATAAATAGAAATGTTAGAAACCATCTCTAAATTCTAAATTGTCAAGATATCTCTTTCCTAAAATTGATTTCACTGATACTTTTAATTATAAGAGATATGAACAACTGTATTTTAGGGTTTTAGGATGTGGCTCAGTTGGGAGAGTGTTTTCCTAGCGTGGACATAGCTCTGGCTTCAGATCCCTAGCACTATTTAAACCTATATGGTGGCACACACTTGTAATGTCAGCATTCAGGAAACAGAATGATCAGAATTCAAGGTCATCTTCAGCTACATAGAAAGTTCAAGGCCTGTCTGGGAATGTAACACTGTGACCAGAAAAAGAAAGAAGGAAACAAAGGAAGAAAGAAAAGGAAGGAAGGAAAGAAAGAAGGAAGGAAGGGAGGGAGGGAAGGAAGGAGGAAGGAAGGGAGGAAGGGAGGGAGGAAGGGAGGGAGGAAGGGAGGAAGGCAGAGAAACAAATACATAAAAGACAGCTTTAGGGCTGAGAAGATACAGTACTGAAGCCCAGTGGCTGAGGCCAGTTTGTGTTTGTGACTGTAACCCCAACACTTGGGAAATGAGGCCAAAGTATCAATGATAGCAAATTTCATGCCAGCCTGAGCTATAAAATGAAACCCTGTTTCAAAAAGGAAAAAAGAAGAGGAAGCCATGTGTAGTGTCATTGCATGCCTTTAATCCCAGCACTCAGAAGGCAGAGGAAGGCGGATTTCTGAGTTCCAGAGTGAGTTCCAGGCCAGCCTGGTCTACAGAGTGAGTTCCAGGACAGCCAGGGCTACACGATGAGACTTTGTCTCAAAAACAAAGAAACAAACAAGGGAGGAAGGGAGGAAGGAAGGAGAGAAGAAAAGAAGAAAAGAAGGAAAGGAAAAAAATTTAAAAGTTGATGTTTACATATTTGAAATTTATAGATTATCAACATTTTTGACTAATTAATACCACACTAATACCTGTACTTCAGAGAAATTGTGGCCACTATGCACAAACAAAAGCACATTCACTAAAATTATAATAGATCTTGTTTCCAACTTTTTAAGGTTTTCAGCATATACTTTTAACAGATTATCCTTTCTTTATTTTTTCTGGTGAAAGGGATCAAATGCAGAGCCTTGTGTACGATAAAAAGTGTTCTATCACTGAGGTACACCCCTAGCCCCAGCAAATTTATTTAAATTATAATTTGTGTTTATATATGTGCATACAGGTATGTGTGTGTGTGTGTGGTTACATGCATTCATGTGTATATGCGCGCGTGTGTGTGTGCATGTGTGTGTGTGTTGTGTGTAGAGGCCAGACTTTGATTTTAGATGTATCTCTCAACAACTTTTCACTTTAATTTTTTTTCAGACAGAGTCACTGAACCTAAAGCTCATTGGCTAAACTGGCTATCTAGTGCGTAACGAGAAACTACTCTTAGGCCCAGTCCTCCGCCAACAAACACTGGGATCACAGGCATTTTCTTCCGTGCCTCCTTGGCTGGCTTTCTTTCTCTCTCTCTCTCTCTCTCTCTCTCTCTCTCTCTCTCCCTCCCTCCCTCCCTCCCTTCCTCCCTTCCTTCCTAGCAAACAGGGTTGTTTTTTTAAATTAATGGTTCCAAGTGCTATAATCAATTCCTTTGAATAGGAGGCAATAACCAAGTGAAAAGAATAAATGCTTGTTAATTATCAGAAAAGTCTGTGGCCATCTGGTGTGCTGATAGACTGTACAGAACAATTTTTATAACTCTAACACAACAAGCCCCTTCCTCTCTTTCTTCTCCAGCTAAGTCATTAGGAGGGTACAATCTTACATGTCATGTAGGTCTCATCTTTCTCTGCTGCTGACATTTGTCTTTTCTTAACAACAATAACAACACACACAGACACACAGAAACACAAAACCATAAATAAAACCATAAATAGGTTCGTCTCTGTTTTATTTTATTTATTTATTTATTTATTTATTTATTTATTTATTTTTAGTATAGAATAGAGTTTATTCAGGGCATGGGGAGGGGCGTTAAGAGGGTAGTAGAGGCAGAGAAAGGCAGAGAGAGAGAGAGAGAGAGAGAGAGAGAGAGAAAGAGAGGGAGAGAGAGGTGGTGTAGAGGAGGAGTAGAGGCCTGCTGTGAGCACATGGAGAGGGGGGAAAGGGCAAGGGGACAGAGCAGGAGCAAGAAGGGAAGGGCAGGAGAGCAAGAGGGCAAGAGCTCACCTCTATTTTATATCCTGGCTATTTTTGAGTTTACCAACCAAGCCTAGCTGTTAGTAATTTGCACTCTAAAGTTTTAGTTGGGAAGCTAGTGCCTAGACTAGCAGAAATTGGGGGAGGGTAGCTGACTTAAGCAGGCTCCAATCGCTAGGGGCTCAGAGTTTCCTATTCCTCTCTAGTTCTACCAAAGCTGTCTTAAAGAGTTATTTTGAAAATCAACCATCAGATATCATTTCTTACACATACATGCATGCATACCCACATGTATACATACATGCAATAAAGAAGATCGAGAAGGTAGAGTGTCATGTATTCCAGCCCTTGGAGAGTCTAGGGCAGAAAGACCATTTAAACCTAGCCCTGGCTACACACTCTAGTAAAACACAGTTAAAATAAAGGAGAGAGACTATCAAGCTGGGGATATAGCCCCGTGGTAGAGTGCTTTCCTAACATGTGGAAGACCTAGTCTCAGTCTCTCTCTCTCTCTCTCTCTCTCTCTCTCTCTCTCTCTCTCTCACACACACACACACACACACACACACACACACACATTCACGTAAAGGTGAGTGTGAGTGTGGTATGCCTGTAACCCAGCACTGGGAGTCAGTAGTGAGTAGAGGATAAAGTTAAAGGCAGCCTTCGGCTACATGAAACCCTGACTCCAGGAACTGGTCGACTGAGATAATGGCTCAGGGGTTAAGGGAACTGGCTGTTCTTCCAGAGGTCCTGAGTTCAATTCCCAGTAGCCACCTGGTGACTCACAACCATCTGTAATGGGATCTGATCCTCTTACCTGCTGTGCTGTCTGAAGACACCTATGTGTGTTTGTAAATAAGCCTTTTAAAAAGAACAACAACAAAAAACCAACAACAAAAGAGAAAAATTAGAAGAAAGCTAATTTCTTAGCCCTAATCCTTCTGCATTTGTTTAAATGTACATGCCCATATATAAGGTATAAACAGTCTGGAAAACACCTATGAGGAAAGAAATCCAATATTGAATGTATTTATATTTTGTTTTGGTTGGGATCAAACCCATGGCCTAAACAAATAGGTGAGTTGTATCCCAATTCATTTAATTGCATATATTTTTCCAAGCAATAACATTGGTTTTATATTGAATGCTACAATTTTGTTCTTTACTAACCTAAATAGTGCTTTTATGTTGAAAGTTATGATTGCAAGTCAGACATGGCAGAAGGATCAGACGTTCATTCTTAGTTACTTGAAGACAAGTTGGGCTATTTGAAAAGACCTCATTCTCACAAAATGGAAAGTTAGGTTTATAGCAATAAAATAATAACAAAGGGTGTTAAACGGTGAGCAAATTTCACTGTAGAAACTTTTAGAAAATATATGTCTTTTTGATGTGTTGTTTCAGCTCTGGAGGTGGAATATAAGATGTGTGGCAGATTCCTTGTTTTTATGAACATACCTTATTTAAGAAAAAACACCAGTTATCAAAGCTCTATATGGCATACTTCACTCAACTCAGCACTCAAGAGGCTAAAGCCTGAAGATTCCTTCAAGTTCGAGGCCAGCCTATAGTACATAGTGAGTCCCAGGTAATACAGGGCTACACGGCAAGATCCTGTCTCAAATTAATTAGTTTTGCTAACATAAAAAGTATGCAAAGGGTTTTCTTTGTGATCCAGGAAGGATTCACATTTTCTTGTTATGTACCTATCGTTGATGTTGTACAGGCCTCCTGAGCCTGGAATTACAGGCCTGTGCCACCACATTTTTTTTTTTTCTTTTTCTTTCTTTCTTTTTTTCTAGACAGGGTTTCTCTGTGTAGCCCTGTCTGTCCTGGAACTCACTCTGTAGACCAGGCTAGCCTCGAACTCTCGAACTCAGAAATCCGCCTGCCTCTGCCTCCTATGTGCTGGGAATAAAGGTGTGCGCCACCACCGCCCGGCTGTGCCACCACATCTAAAGAGACTAATTGAATTAGGGAACATTCTACAGGTCAGAATTTCTGAACAGAAAGAGATCCAAACCCAAATTTAATAACTCAAGTTTTGAAAACCAACCCAAAAAGGTAGGTCTGTGTAGTGATACATATATGTAGCCCCAGCATTCATGAGATCCAGACAAAAGGATCTTGAGTTCAAGATGAAGCTGGAATAGTTGGTGAGATGATGTCGGGATGTATGGGAAAGCTAAAACTGAACCAACCTAAACTAAACTAAACTAAAAGTTAAAAAAAAAAAAAAAGCCTGTGACGTGGCCTTTGAGGCCGTGTGCAAACCTCAGACAGTACAACGTCACAGAGGCCTGCCAGGAAAAGCTGCTATTTCCATCTAAGCCATCCTAGGGGGGAGGGGGGTTAGCCTCGGGGCTCCGTGGCAGCGGTGTGAGTGGGCCTGCTCACCAGAAGATCTCACCGTACCCATGAGCAGTAAAAGTTGCTTCAAGTGTGGACGCTCTGGCCACTGGGCCCGGGATTGTCCTAAGGGAGGAACTCGAGGGCGAACAGCAAGAGGTCGTACCAGAGGTTCCCAATGCAGCTCTGCCAGCCAGTCCGATGTCTGTTATCGCTGTGGTGAAACTGGTCACTACGCCAGGGACTGCGATCTTCTCCAGGACACCTGCTACAATTGCGGGAGAAGAGGCCACATAGCCAAGGACTGTACCCAGCCTAAACGAGAGAGGGAGCAGTGCTGTTACATCTGCGGCCGACCTGGTCACCTGGCTCGGGACTGCAACCGACAGGAAGAACAGAAATGCTACACTTGTGGTGAATTTGGGCACATCCAGAAAGACTGTACCCAAATCAAGTGCTACAGATGTGGTGAGAACGGCCACATGGCGGTGAACTGCAGCAAGGCAAGCGAAATCAGCTGCTACCGCTGTGGCGAGTCTGGACATCTAGCCCGGGAATGCCCCATTGAGGCTGCTGCTTAGTACCCTCCCGTTTTAAACCCTCTCCTTTAGTACTTAGTTAAGCTGTTTCTAACATTTCTTTACTATTCAAAAGGGTGATAGATGGAAACTACGCCTATGCTACTATAATTATCAACTTAAAACAGGAAAAGACTTGGGAGGGGGAAACCCGTCAAAATGCCCTGTTTGGTTGCCATGAGGAAATTCAGATACGGCACAGCCATTTTGAATGGGACACAACTGGTGGGTCCTTTGAATATGTTTCGCTTTGACACACTAAATTAGAAATTGATAGTGAAAAATCAGAACAAGTTTGGAACATCACCTTTGAATTTACTAACAAATAATATCTATGTGTGTGTCCGATAGAGATAAACGGCCTTGAAGCAAAGGAATACCGACTAAAACGATAAGAAGAGAAACTACTTCCTTGGTGGTGGGGGCAAGAACATTTTGAGGAAGTAACATTTCTTCAGAGACTTTTAGAGCAAATAAAAGTGTTTCTGAAAATATTGATGACTTTGATACGTTTTAATATTTAGTTTTATTATATTGATAACTTTTGCATTATTTAATTTTTGTTAGTTTTATTTTATTTTTGGTTGGCTGGTTTTATTTTAAGGGAATTTTTTTTTTATTAAGAGCTCTTGCTATCCCAGATTTGAACCCCAAACATACATCTCTTCTTCTGTCTTAGCTTGCCAAGTGCTCTGATTACAGCTGTGAACCACTACACTCAGCTCTGATCTTGTTCATTTTTAAATAATATTGAAACACATCTCATGCCAGTGAAAGGAAACTGGCCTCTCTCAGCAGGTAAAGGTGCTTGCTACCTGATGGTGCAAGCTTGACCACTTGTTTGGTTCCTGAAACCTACAAAAAGGAGAAAGTAAAGAACCAATTCCACAAAGTTGTCTTCTTACAGGCACGTGCACGCACCACATACAAACTATTAATAATAGAAAATAATACTAATAATAAGAACCAAAATTTTTTCCTTTTGTTTCTTTGAGACAGGGCGTTTCTATGTAACCCTGACTGTCATGGAACTTGCTACATAGACCAGACTGAACTTGAACTCAGTGATCCTCCTGCTTCGGCCTCCTAACTGTGGGGATTAGAGGTATGTACTATCATGCTTATCAGGAACTTTTTAAAGATTTATTTATTTATTTTATGTATATTAGTACACTGTAGCTCATCTTCAGATTGTAGCTGTCAGACACACCAGAAGAGGGCATTGCATCCCATTATAGATGGTATAGCAACCATGTGACTGCTGGGAATTGAACTCAGGACCTCTGGAAGGGCAGCCAGTGCTCTTAACTGCTGAGACATCTCTCCAGACTCCTTCTTCTTCCTCTTCCTCCTCTTCCTCTGTTTCCTGCTCTTCTCCTTCCCCTTCCTCTTCCTCCCTTTCCTCTTCTTTCTCTTCCCCTTCCTCTTCCTCCTCTTCCCCTTCCTCTTCCTCCTCTTCCCCTTCCTTTACTTCTTCCTCTTCCTCCTCCTCATCTATTCACTTTTAAGTGTAACTTTTCCTTCACTGCTCTTTTTAAAACATACTTTTCTTAACAGTGTCCTGACATGATTGGTGTCCTCACCCCTGCCTTATGGCTGCTTGTGTACCTTTAGTGGGATCTCCAGTGGCTCCTCCTCTCCATTCTCCAGGCACCTGCTGAGGTTTTACAGCTTGCCTGCCCTGAGGTGTTTTGCTGTTGTTGCTTGTTCCCTCCCACTAATAAAATTTTGCCCGTGATTCCAAAAAATATACTTCAGAGATGAAAATAATATTTACAATCAGGAGTTTTCTGAAAAACACACTTTCACAGAAGTAAAAACATGTAATTTGAGGGTGGGAGTGTAGCTCAGTGGTGGAGTTCTTGCCTAGCATGTGCAAGGTACTGTATTCTTCTATCCTCAGCACTAGAAAACAAACAACAGCAATAATAACAACCTCCCCCCACCCCGAGAATGGACAACACGAAAGGGGACGTTGTAATGGGAACTGGTCAGAAAACAATGAAGGTAATACCTTATTTCAAACCTTGACTATGACTGAGTTTATAACAAAAAGAATAGTGAGCTTTTTTCTAAGTTTTTTTTTTGTTCTGTAAACCCAAGTACTCAAGAAATGCAACTCATTTTTACACTAGAAACCACATTCTTTTTTGAACTTCCAAAAAGATACATATGATCATTGTCATCTGAAAGGCCTTTTCAACTTCTGTGACCCTCTTGCCTTCTAGAATTGATTTTGTCCCTTTGAGTTTTCTCAGTAAGATAAATTCAGGCACAGTGACATAGTCTTTCTCCCAAAGAAGACAACCTCAGTCCAATCTGTGAAAACACATAAAACTCCTACATCAGACAACACAAACTGCTCTAGTTGCCTCACTTGGCTTGACTGTATCTAGGAAAAGAAGAAAAGAGGAGTGTGCTTCCCCCATCCCTGACTCAAGTACTTCTTGCATCCCTTCAAATCGTCTGGAATTTTATTTCTCCTCTGCTCAGGAGTGTCAGAGTTGTACAGGAAAAACAGATCTCACCCTTTATCAAGGCACATTCAAGATTAGACTCCTTTATTTCTTCACTTAGGTAATTCTTTCTTCTCAGAGAAAGAACACCGTTATTTGTCTCATCAGTATTCCTATGCTGGAAGCCAGAGACACAGGCTCCCAAGCATGTTATTTAACCTGCACATTGCTTTGCAGTGTTTGTCAATTAGATGCCAACATTTACAAAGGGGAGAGCTGAGCAGGCAGCCTGGTAGAAAGTGCTGCCTTAGTATCCTGGGGCCCTAGGTTTAGACCGAGGTTTTAACATTCCTGAGCCCATGGGGGAAGGGGGACATGGGGGACATGGTGCTACAGGACAGTAATCTCAATACTTGAATCAAAAATCAGTAAAAGCAGTAGGACTAGAAATTTAAGGCCAACCTGGGCTACACAGTGAGCTGTAGGTTAGTCTGGGCTACATAAGGCCCTGCCACAAATAAACAAACAAAAAAGGAGAACATTTCTCATAAAATACGTATTTTTAATCTCTCTGGAAAGAAGATTAGGAAGCTGCAAGCACACGCTCCTCTGGAGAAGCATGCTGCTGCAGGAGTGAACTACTGTACTCTTATAGACAAATTCATAAGGTACTTTAGCAGTCCCTGCCCCTTCAACTCAACTGCCATGTTCCAAGAACTCCAGACAACAATTAAAATCTTATTACAATCAACTAATCAACTGCCAGCAGCTACTACCCTACAGATGGGTTTGTAACATCCTCTCCTTCCCTGATGGAATTTTGGATGATCTTGTGCAGGCAATCATAGCTGCCTTGGGTTTATGTTTGCAATAGCCATTGAAGAATATTTGAGAAAGACGGGGTGAGGAAGAGGAGGGGAGAGAGAGAGAGGGAGGGAGGGAGAAAGAGAGAGAGAGCATGTGCGCATCATAACACTCCAGTGGAGGCTAGATGATCTAGTGGGAGTTGGTCCTCCTACCTACCGTGTGGGTCCTGGGGATCAAACTCACATCATCAGTCTTGGTGGCAAACACCTTTACCTACTAAGCAGTCTGGTCATATGCTCTCAATATACTTTTAAACATTTACTTTATTTGCCTAGCTCCTGCCTAGCCTGGAGATTGTTATATATTACCATCACTGTAATAGATGAAAGCACAGGCCGGGGATATATCTTCATTGACATAACATGCTATCAAAGGCCCCCCTTTTTGTTGGTGTTGGTTATGAATCCCAGGGTTTCATACAAGGTAGGAAGCACCTTATTATTGACCCTTCCATGCAGGGTTTTAAAGACTATTTTCACATTGTAACTCATCATGCTACAGCACTTTAGATGTAAAAGGTTAAATGCAATTAAGACAACTTAGAAAATAACAATTTTGCCCACCAGCACTTCTAGAATCCATCCAAAACTGGTGGGTGGTGGTGGGGGGCTGGAGGCTATAGAAAGGAGAATGAAAAAGAGCACAAGCTGCCAGAATGACAATTCAGGAATCACTAGTACCTGAGAAGTGGAGGCAGGAGGACAGTTTGTCATCCTGTTCTGGGCTAAGTGAGACTAACCCCCAACTCATCCTCAAACAAAAAGCTAACAACAAAACAAACAAAGCAGTGAATTAGTTGCAGCCTAAATGCAGGGAAGAAACAGGATATGCAGCTGCTGATCTGAGCTTAGGCAGTTAGCAAGTGTGGGCCCAGTAGGGAAAACAGGGCCTCTATACTCCAGGTGAGAGACACTAAGGAGACTGGGGAGCTCACTTTGAAGTCAGGACCTGTTTCTTAAGTAATGAAGGCATTTGCCCAGGCATACTTCCCTAGCCTTTACCCATGGACTTGTGCTGTAGAGCTCAGGCAGTGCTCTGTGGACAAGGGCCCATCTCAATTCCCCATTGATTAGTTGCTCCCCTTCTCCCAAATTAATGTGTCCATTCTAAACAAAATTTATGCTGCTTTGGAGGTTCAGGAAAGCAGCCAATGGAAACACAACACACACACACACACACACACACACACACACACACACACTCCTATACGTACACTAGCCAAGCATAGGGCTAGGTGTTGGGTCTGACTTGAATTCTGAAAGTACAGATGAAACACTCTTTTAACGGCCCCTTTGTTTTTACTACTGCTATTCTCTCTGTGTGTGTGTGTGTGTGTGTGTGTGTGTGTAGGTGGTAAGGGGAGGCAAGGGTCCCCTGTCCTACTCTAGACTTCCTTCTGTGGCAAATATGTGTCTGCCTACCAGAAAGATCTGGTGGCTTGGGGAAAGAAAGCAGTGGTATAGGGACAAGTAGACTCTACTTCCTGTTCCTAGGGATCCAAGTCCAGAGAAATGCAAGGATTGTGGACTGTAGGCTACAGGCAGCATTGGGCATTTCCAACTCCTACTCTGTAAACACCCGGAGGTGGGCTTCACTGACTCCTGCTTGCTTGTTTTGGGCCTAGGTGTTACTGGATCCCCATTGAACTTCTTATGGGCCCGGGCTAAGTTTTCCTGAGGCTGGGAAGAAGCCACAGAACAGGAGGGATGATAAGTGAGCTGGACCTACACTCATGGCTCCTCTGGGGAATTTTCCTCATCTGTTTAACCCCACCCAAATCTGCATTTTTTTAAAAAAAAGATTTATGTTTTTATTTTGCTTAGATGTGTACACTGTAGATATATTCAGACAGATCAGAAGAGGGCAGCAGATCCCATTACAAATGGTTGTGAGCCACCACGTGGTTGCTGGGAATTGAACTCAGGACCTCTGGGAGAGCAGTCAGTGCTCTTAACAGCTGAGTTATCTCTCCAGCCCCCAAATCTGCATTTTAATTTGACCATCTTTGAGAACTTTTGGGAGAAAACCTGCCTGTCATAGTTGTTCACAGAAGGGCTGTCTCTAGCCCTATATCCACATGGGCAGAGCCCCCTTCCCCAAACCAGAAACAGGGAGGGGTAGCAACTGATCAACAAGTCTTGGCGTGAAGGTGGACTCTGGTTCACAGGGGA